CGAAGCGCATCGTTACGCACGGCGACGAGTAGGCAGAGTGGCAGCTCTCGGATTTTATTAGCCCAATCAGCTGGAAGTGAGCGTCGGCGCGCCGTGCATTGCGAATCATTACGAGCGGGGCTGAGCGGCGTAATTACTGGCAATGAAGTAATGATCGAGCGGCCCCGATCGGCAACCGTGTACTTCTCCCGCCGCTCGACCGCCCCGGCACACCGCCGTCCCTCCGTCCCGCCCCCTTCTGCCTCGTTCCCCGTAGCCGCGCAGCCCCACAGCACCGCCTCGTCGCTCTGTTGACCCTTCTTCCTGTTATTGCGGCGTCCTATTTACCCCCCGTGTATAACTATGTCGGCCCTTTGTCCCGTCGGCTGATAATCTCACCTTCGTGTTAGTCTGTTCATCCGAAAGACCCGCCGTGCCGTAATGCCATCTTGTTACCCAACCTTTCCGTCGCACCGACACGATTTTCTACGACCCCAACCCCATCATACCGTTACTCCATTGACCAGTATCTTTCTCCGTCACGTTTACATACCACCCCGTCATTCCGCTGTCCCATTATGCTACCGACAGGCTAACTTTCATCCCGTTATCCCGGTCACCGGTAATCCACTCGACCTAACTAATTACCCCAATGACCCTTTACTCTACCGACTCTATATCGTTCCGTTGCGTTACTAGGATCCCATTAGCAGCTGAACTATGTATCAACCCGCTGCCACGTTGTCTACCATTCTACAACAGCTTCCCATACTCTTTAAATGTCACCGTCCCAATTTCTCTAACAAAAACCCCCATCTTATTCTTTGTCTTGATCTTTCTTCTCACTTTCCCCGTCCCGTCTTCTACCTCCCTATCTTCTCTTAGTCCCCTTATCTTTCTTTATATCCTTTCCGTTTCAGATTCACACGCATACATTTCTGCTTTTTTTAATTTTTTTCTTCTTCAACCTACTCTTGTCCATCTTGCCCACCTCCTTTGACTTCCTCGCACAGTTTTTGTATCAGATCGTCTTTATTACCATTCACCTACCCTCAGATCCTCTACTCACCTTCATTTACCGACTTCCCCTTCATTTACCTGTTCCTTTCCTTCCATACTTTCGCCTGTTTCGTCGCCCAAGAAATACCTCCTTTCTCCACTAGTTGGTGAAAGGAACATAACGAAATGTGCGCGGTCAGCCGGAAGAACAGGTCTCATGGCCTGAGTCTCAGCACGTAAAAGAAGGCATCAATTCAATTCAATTCAATTCAATCCATACTTATATCTCTTCTACTTCTACCGCCGCCGTCGCTCCGCCGAGCTTTGATAATCGTTCTGCATCGCATGAAAATGGCGCCCGGAAGGCGGCCGCCCGCATTCTTGTAACGACTCAATTGTCAAAGTGTCACAGTTACGTTATCATCGCCTTCTCGTCGATTGCTTCTTGTTTGAAAAATAATGAACTTTCTCGACAACAAAGAAAAAAATTCAAAACGTTTGTCTTACAGTTCACAATACTTCATTGCTAGGAGAAGACAACTGACAACAAAAACTCGCAACGTTACAATCGCTGGGCAGAAGTGCGTGGAGAAGAATTTTAGCGGCCAACTGCTCTGTTCGATTGTTTCCCGTGGTTTCTCTTTTTCTTGGTTCAGCCAAGTGCCGGAGCAGTACCCTAACAAACAGGCCACGGACCGTGCGCGATCTTTCCTTCCTCTTCCTCGTTCAATCCGTCCCCCCTACACACACACACACTTACACGAACACGCACTATACAAGCACACGTGCCGAGAGACCGGT